CGGGAAGGCGCGACGTTTTCGAGTTTTAATAGAGTACGATAAATAAAACTTTCCTAGTGAGATTTAAAGTGGGTACATATTAAAACTATGCATTCTACGAGCTTTCTTTCAACAAATTGTGGAATAGCGAACGGTAATACTTATCAAAGATCGAGGATCAAACAGACTGAGAGAAAACTAGTCGAGTGTGTCATAAACATTGTTGATTAATAATGATTATAAGTAATTTTTACGTATTGACCAAAGAATATCACTTGGGATTTTATTGTACTTTCATGGAAGGATACATATATACTCAAGTAAATATGTGCCTGTATAGTGAAAGGGACATATATGGAAACGAAATTCTTCATGTGTAAACATGTATAGTTATCAAAGCAGAATATTTTGACAGTGACAGGTTGGTTTCCGTATGTATGTAGTTTAAGATACAGTTGTGAATGAAATTATACACAGTATCTTGAAACCTTTGTGTGTGAGTTAATTTCATATTTATTTTTTGGGATGTTTATTTCTCATTGTCTGGAAGGGGGTAATTGGGGGTACCAATCATGAGAAATAATATCCAGTGGTCTTGAAATATGAAAAATATTAGAAGACTTCAGGGACTTCGTCTAGGTGGAAATATATTGGCATTCACCCAGACCAACAACTCAGCAGTCAGCACCAGAGCACCCCCCCCCCCCTACCAGATCATGCTGGATCTATCCCTGCACCCATGCAGGTTCTGCCTTCTCACCAGCACAACTGATCAAGTCATACACATTCATTACTGCCAATCTCTTTATTATTTATGTCTCATTACAATTGGTATGTACAATATATTTTTATTATCTTGTGCATCACCAGTATCATCACAACTTGTATTTAACTAGCATCATCATCATTATTCTCACCATTCTAATTTATTTATAGTCAATCACAATGAATAAAAAATTTCCTATCACACCACTCATATTACTTAATTGCCCAAGGTTAAGGCCATTTCACAGCACTCCAGGATCTGAATACCTGCAACCACCTTTTTGATCTTATTCTAAAACAGAGACAAACAACAAATGTCTTACTGGAATATCACTGCAATAAAATGACTGTCATTTGAAACCACATTCTGCTGTATTAGTAACAGCACAACTGCTCAAGGTCGCAACTAAGGTAAATAATAGGGATGTAGTAAGTTAATACTGATTACTGGTAATTGTCTTTTTACATTTTGCTCACAACCGAAGTCAAATGATATGGAGCAAGTATAGAATATCCAGCCACTTTTTATTATTCACTTAACCTTACCCTTGACCACTGATCTAATAGTGCCCTTGACAAGTAAAATTGTCTGGTGTTGGACAGAGAAAAATAACAAAGTATGCCATATTTAATTATCCCATTGGTGTGCAAGGCTCCTTTGGATGGGCAAAATACTAAAATTGGGGGCTATGGAGATTTTATGGCAAGAGGTGGAGGAACATTTTCTCCAGTAGAATGTATGTTGGCCATTGGAATTTTTTAAAATTAAACATCAAAATCATAAACCAGAGTATTGAGGCGATAAAGAAAAGAATACCGGGCTGTAAAATTAATGTAATCTAATTTTCTCGTCACATACAGAAAGTTAGGTACCGGGTAAGGTTGGCATTTCCACACTTTTCTATTACCATCGTACTATTCTGTTAAGTTTTTATTGGATGAGTCAGAGACCAATGGTTGGAATGAGAGCAGTTAATTTGTAATTCTTGCATGTATTCATTTATTAACTTTTGACTACTGTAATAGTCAGCCAGTTAAATAAGTATTTTACTGAGGGTACTGCTTGACGATTTTACATGTCAAAGAGAACTCCAGTTATGAAAGGCTGAATATTTTCTGAGCAAGCTGGAACAGAAGATTTTGATTTTAGTGAAGGAGGATGCAGATAACAAAAAAATATATCAGGCATGAAGGACTCAGAAGGAGGGTCTATATCCAAAAGCGAAAGATGGAGGAATAATTAGACAAAGAAAACTAATTATACAAACAGAGAGCCACGAATATGCTGGAATTTAGGATATATAAACTGATAAATATATGAGAATATATAAATTTTTATATAATATGCATCATAAAATCTTACCTCGAATATAAAACATTCGATCTTTCATCTTTATAGCATTCAAAATCCATGTGGCTTCAAAGTTTATAATTTCCATCAAAATAAAAACAAGCTTAAAATCTGCTGCCTGTCGTTTTAACATATGAATTTTAAAACACTTGTTATACATTCATATTTTAAAAATCAAAGGCAAAATATATGTATTTTTAAAATTTAGTTCGCCCATTGCAATGTTCAGTTGTCCTTCCCCCCGGGATGACATGACTTCAATAAGGCCAGGTTACAAAAATGTCCAATATTTTTGGACACACGTGAGCAGTGTTTACCAGGGCCTTTGCTTCCCGTACCAGAGCCTCTGAACCGCGCAAAGGCCCTGGGTACGAGGTTGACAAAGGCTCTCGATAAGCTTAAAATTCGAAAATTGATCACTTTTTTCGATTATAAATGGAACAAGAACAGACTGTTTATTATTTACTTGAAGGAAGAGATGTTTTTGCCGTTATGCCAATGGGGATTGCTTGTCGTGAGGTGTTGGAATAGTACTCATTACGACTGGGGTAAACTATAGTAACCTTTACTTGAGTTTCATTTATTTCAAACAGACTTGATACGTTATATGTTCCTCAAGAAAATTATCTTTTGGTTGATGTTGAGATGCAGTTGCATTTAAGCCTATTCGAAACACTTTGCGATTTACAAGGCTTCGCTGAGAGAGCGAAACAGAAGACGGTATACGATTAAATTGCCGTTTGAAACGAAACGATCTGGACTCTGAACGCTCTCTTCTTTTGTAGAGTTCTTTACCAAATGAAATAACTGAAATACCATCTGATAAGTGAGACAATTTATTTATAACAATGGCGACAGCGAAGCACACATTATAAATGCTAATGTGGTCGCACGACTTCCCTCACGATTTGAAGTTTGAGACTGGTTTTCTGTTCAAATTTGTTCTAAATTGCCTGTTCCGATTTCAGTTGAAAATGAGCACTTGCAAATTTGCCGGCAATTACTGACTGCGTTGCTTGCTTTTTTGGAGTTAAAACGCAGCCATTTACACGTTGTTTATTTTCTGAATAAGCAGAGAAAACCCCGCAACATTTTAATGCGAGTTTGTTTGTTAATATTTGGGTGCTGTCCTTGGTTCTTTTTTGACAATTGACGCGCGAATGGGGGGCGTGTTATGAAAAGGGGCGTTTTACAAAATACCGGGCTTTGCTTGCGTTCCCTTGGGCCTGCGCGCGGGCTAAATAAACAATAACCCAGCATACTTTGCGCGCTAAGAGTGTAGGTTTACGTTTTTGGAAGGACAACCTTAATTGAATTAGCTGTATACATAAAGCATATAATTAATATCCTTTGTGAATACACGCATGAAAATTTGTCATTTTATCTCTATTTTCACAATTTATATAGACCTATGAAATATAAAACTCAAGCGACATAAAATTATATAGCCTGTTTCACAAACGTAACTATTAACTCGACTACTCTAGTTAGGTATGTGGCATATAAGTTAATAATTCTAAATCTATCGACACTTTTGTCAGTGCTATGGCAGATAAAATATACTGGAAATGTTTAAGAAATTGCGCATAATTTATTATTTTTAAGCCCTGCATGACCAGCACCGTTTGCCAGGACTTTGCTTTGGGGGGTGTGAGGTTATAGATTTACCTGCACGAATTTTTTCCAATTTAACGACGTTTTTACTTGATTTTGCGACGTCTGCGAGGCGCCACCATGGTACTTTTATGGAGTGAACATATAGTTTATAATATAAATTGTTAAGTTTCTATTTTTTCACAAAATTTGGCATCACGTTTTATTTGTTCAGAGATTATGGCCAAAAATCACGGATAAAATTTATTGTGCTTCTCATAGATTATTCTTTACACATCATGCACGTTGGAATATTGTAAATCGCAAATTCCGTGAATAAGGTAGGTCGTTTACAATTTGCCGCAGTCGCTGCCTGGATGTAAAAATAAAAGTATATATAAGCCTATCGAAATATTCATTTAAATTTTGTCCTCGTTTAGGTATCAATCTGATTGCCATGCAGTTATCTTATCAGTTGATTAGGAAATGGTTAATAGTAATATGGCAAGCAAGATACCGACACGATTAAGTAAATCCCTGTTTAATGTCTTGGGCATGCATGGGAGCTTATAAACAACGGACGTACTTTGGCTACAAGGCCAAAGTACTTTGGTGGGATTTTGCGAGCAGCATAAATTACTTAAAGTATTGTTAGCTTTATCATTTATTTTTTTGTAGCTTTATCATTTAATTTTATTATTTATGTTATTATATACATGACAAAATTACTGCAATCTGATTGGTTAAGAGGAGTGAAATTATTTCATTAATTGCACTCTCCAGGAGTGCAATTAATGATTTTCGTGATGGCTGGGGGGAGCGGGAAATGAAAACAACAAAATCCAATATGGCAGCGAAATTTAGATAAGTATTTCTACAACAAATGTGGACAATTTAACTGAATTTTGGCACAAGAATGAGTTTAAGAAACATTGTATGGCAAAAAGAGCCTGTGGAAAATACCTGGAAACAGTCTTAAGAAATAATCTTGGCGGGATGCAGCGAAACGTGACTATGTAAGTTTGAAATACAATTTATAAAGGTTTTCTTAGTCTAAAATATGTTGTTTGAGTTTGAATCTTGTGTTCTAGTTTAAGTTATGTGCCTTTATGAGTTTATAATCATTTCCCAAGTTTGTTTATACCAAATTGCTTACAAAAGAATTAAAAACTCTTGACAAAATGCAGTTAATTGAAATATAAAGAAAGCGATTTTGACATGCATATAATAAATAAACAAGTATAGGTTATTTTGAGGCAACGAGGGGATATGTGATTTATTCACCGAGGCGCGCAGCGCCGAGGTGAATAAACACATATCCCCGAGGTGCCTCAAAATAACGTACTTATTTTTCACATTGCGAGGTCGCGTTAATGAGTCAGAATAGAAATAATTCTTAATGCCATATTGCCTTCGTGATGTTGTTTTTTTCTCATTTTTTGTGCTGCAAAGACATTGCAGGTGAATATTAGAGGGGATTATTAATTGCAGGTGAATATTAGAGAGGATTATTAAACGGAAATTGATTAGAGGGGAATATTGAATATATTCCCCGATAAGAACAAAGGAAACCGAGCAGGGTGAAAAATAAGACGCTCTATTGAGCGTTAGTCGCTGGGGCTATTGCATATTACGCTACATGAGATTGAGATTAAGACTGCTATTTGTTTGTTAAGTTTATGTGTTCATATAATAAAATTGTTTTTGTCAAAAATGGGATTCAAGGAAAAATTAAAACAAAGTTCATCAAACAAGTCCCCGGACTATAGACAATAAACAAATTTGTCTAAGTTTGGTTATATCCAATTTGCAACTTTACATAAGTCACATGCCTTAAGGCTGCATTCCAGTTACGCGTTATGAAATAACTAAATTTATAAAAGGACAGCATTCAGTTTTGTGTATGATTTAATGTGTATTTGTTAAGGTTATTTGCACTTATATGAAATTTTAAGCGAATTCAACTTTTACGTGCGTGTACGCACCTATGAAAAACGGGTAACTGGAATGCAGCCTTAAGTATCATTGTTCTAGTGTACTGAAGCATAGAGTATAGAACAAAGATAACTAAGCTTTAGAATTATCTAGCTACATGAATGAATGAATGACTTTTATAGTGTATATGGCTTATCAAATGCTTAGTTACCTCTGTTCTATTCTTTGTGTGAACTACTGTACAGGGTGTATCAAAAAAAGCGCAACCTCGGAATTTCCCAAGAAATCGACATTGTTTTAAAGACAAAAGATTTCAGGCGCCTGGGAATTTAAAATAGCATAACTGTCAAAATTACTGCAAACGCGAGTGCATAAAGCAAAATTTATGCATTTATTTAATGCACAACAACAGTAATATGATCTATTAGCAATTCGATTTCAATTCCCAGGGGCCTAAAATCTTTTATGCTTAAGAATTGCAAAGTGATTTCTTAGGAAATTCCGAGGTTGCGTTTTTTTTTATACACCCTGTAGAACACTAACTAGGCATGAATATTTAAAGTTGTGAATTGCATAGCAACAATGTAACTAACTTTGCCAAATTTATCTATTATACAAATTAATATGTTCTGTGTGATTGAATTGTACAATACCTATTGTGAGATTACAGCTGTCCTGAGAGCTTTTAAAATATCATTTGCCAGTTGGAAGGCAAGAAGCTCTACTATTAAACCCTTGTCCCACTAAGCAGATTCTATTTACATCCAAATAAACAGCAACTTGCGAATATTATTGTTGCAATTTACGAAGTTCCAACTTTGTGAAAATTGTGAACTTTTGTCGTCTATTTCTGGCTTCCAGCCTTCCAAGTTTACTCATATAAGATGACTTTCGGTTTATAAAGTCCGGTTGATGGGAAAACTATTACTATTAAGTTTCATCGAAAAAATGAAGAAAATATGCACAAAATCGATGAAATTATTTCCAAATACGCTCCCAAGTAAGCGGCCATCTTGAATCCAGCGACTGAAAGTAATGACGTAATGTTTGACAAAAAAAATGACGTAGGTCATTTTGTGACCAACAATCCGCGATGAAGCCGAAACCTATAGTCGCTGGAGGCACAGAGTGCCCCAGCGACTAATAATCACACGGGCAAGTCGTGCAATTAATGATTAACACTACTCTTGATATTTGAAAAATGTGACTCGTAGTGTTAATCATTAATTGCACTCCTTCCCGTGTGATTACCTATACAAAATACATACGATGTTGAGGATCCCCGCACATGGAAAAGTGTGTGTATAAAATGTAATCCCGCTCGAAGTTTAATGAACTCTCCATTGACTTGCTGCTTTTAGACATAATGTAATGACTGTTGTTCAAGTATTGTTTACTGTGTGTGTTAAGTATACCCCGTAAATTGTTTCCGTATATAACTATTGGGGCCGCTGTAATTGGCAATAACTGTTGTGGTTTCCCAGCCAGTCAATGATATACACAAACAACTTGTCTACCTGGCGTACAAATGCTATCACGAATTATCTCCTCCAAATTTGCAGTCAATCTGTTCGAAAAATGTTCACCGCTACCAACTTAGAAATAAAATAACTTATAAACTTCCTACACCGAACACGGACTTTCTTAAGAAATCAATCTCCTTTCAAGCTGTTAGTCTATGGAACGGACTGAACCTTGAACTAAAAATTAGTAGAATGTTTAAAGAATTTAAAAAGTCTGTTAAAGTGCTAAGGTGGCTCCCTACAGTTCTCTACAATTCTAGGTATTTTTAGTAACGTTCGCTTTCAACCGAATTTATATTAAATATACTTAAGACAGGGGGCAATATGATCATTTCCAGGAAAGTTCAGAATAGATGTGTGTATAATAGTTTGGGTCATGCAAGTGTCAAATAATGTGATTGTTTGTTATGTGTTTTTATGTGAACAATTATGCTATAGTGAACAGTTACTCTATAGTCATGTTTTCGTGGAATTTATTACTTACTTAGTTACACGACCCACACTTTCAAAATGCAAATTTTTTCTTCCAAACATAAATTGCAGCGTTTTGATCCCCCCTGTGTACAAAATAGCTTGTTTTAAAATTGACCATTTGATGGTATAATCCTGATTGTTTTCTTTTAATTTCCAAATATGTTTCGAAAGTTTGTTTGAGTCTTTTTTATGACAAAAAGATGGAGTGTGGTTAGCGTAACGTTCCTTAAATGTAGTCGCTGTCATACCAATGTAGTGACCAGTAGTGTTTAGTGTTGTTCGTTGTGACTTTGTAAATAATGTTGTTGGTCATACATTAATTGTTTCGGTAATGGGCAAGTGTTTTTGTTGTCGCAGTTACAGTTGTCAGTTTCCATATTCTGTGATTGGCTGTTCCTAATTATATGTGCGTTGTGTTTGGTGATTATAGACTTAACGTTGTTCATGCAACTATAGCTTACTTTTAAAGTGTTTCTGTTGAAAATCTTGTGTACTTTGTGCTGTAGTGGAAAGTGTTTGTTAATTAAACATAAGAATTCCTGTCCTATGTTCGTGTTAACACTCCTACTAAATGGTGGGTTGAACCAAATTATGTTGCGTTGCCTATTCCTACGTGTCCGTTGCGATGCATCCTGAGTGTACGTAAGTTTGTGATCAAAGTTACTATGTCTAAGGGCGTTCTATTTAATAGAACGCCCTTAGCTACGGGCGCCTATTTACCAAAGACATGCATACCTAAGACATAGTATCTTTTTATATCAAGTTGAACCCAACCTCGTATTCAGGGTAGGGCAGGAAAATAAGGAAATACCCTACGACTTTCTTGTGTTAGCTGTGTGTGTGTGTGCCCAGGGGAGAGATGCAAGAAACAGTTATGCATGGAATCTCTTTCCGCACCAACGGCAAGGTAGCGCCCCAATTAATACGATCAAGCGCAGCCTTAAATTGCCTAATTGTGGCATCACTTGTTTTTACACATCTCGGTAAATTATTCCATGTTTTAGCACCATTATAGCTAATGCTTTTTTTCATAAAATTTGTTTTAGGCTTTTGTAGAGTAAACTCATTTCCGTTGCTACGTAAATTATAATTAATGTTATTTTTAATTTCAAACAGGTTCATCAAATTCTCTGGTAATTCATTTCTCTTCGCTTTGTACATGAATACTAAACTATTTTTTTCCCAATGATCAATTAAGGGTTTCCAATCCAGTTCCCTCAAAACTTCATTTGAAGGTGTCTCGTATGATCTGCCAGTTATGACCCTTGCTGCCCTGTTTTGCATTTTCTGCAACTTACTGATCAGCTGATCACTACAGTTGCTCCATACAAGGCTGCAATAGTCAAAATATGGTAATACTAACGCATTGTACACCTTAATCAAAGTTGTTTTGGGGACACAGTTCTTTATTCGTCGTAGCATACCTATACCTTTTGATACTTTGCCTGAAATAGCTTCAATTTGATTTTTCCAAAGTAGTTGCTCATCAATAATTATGCCCAATGATTTTGCGTGATTAACCCTCTTAATTTTTGTATCCCCAAATTCTAGGATCGGGTCAGTTTCAACAGTCGATAATCTCTGGTGTGAACAATTAGCATATATTCTGTTTTATCTTTATTTAATGTCAATTTATTGGCCAACAACCAGTTGTGCATAAGCTCTAGGTCGGAATTTAATCGCCGTTGTAGTTCTTCTTTATTTAAGCTCGCAGTGGTTAGATTTGTGTCGTCGGCAAACATATTCGCTTTAGTATATTTTAAACAATTTGGCAAGTCGTTAATATAAAGAAGGAATAGCAGAGGACCCAAGTTAGATCCCTGGGGTACTCCACTACGATTTTTTTGCGGCTCTGAAATAGTTTGTCCAATCTTACACCTTTGGATTCTATTTGACAAGTATGATTTAAACCAATTTAGTTCAACCCCTTTTATGCCATAAAGTTCTAATTTTCTGAGTAGGATACTGTGGTCTACGCAATCAAATGCTTTCTTTAGGTCAAGAAAAACAACTCCATTTAGGTACCCTTTGTTCATATTTAAATACCATTCATTCGTAACAGATAGTAATTAAGTTTCTGTTGAATGCTTCTTTCTGAAACCTGATTGTTGGTTTACTAATATTTTATTACTTTCCAAATAGTTTGAAAGCTGATGAGATGTAAGTTTTTCAAAAATCTTAGCAACCGCAGACAATACAGACACAGGTCTATAATTTGTGGGTTTACTTTTGCAATCCGATTTATAAATAGGGGAAACAATTGCTATTTTCATATAATCTGGAAAACTACCCGATAATATTGACTTATTGAATATTGTTGATAACGACTTAGCAATTACGTCAGCACAATCTTTCAATAGTTTAGCCGAGATTCTGTCATGTCCTGTAGCTTTATTTATTTTAATAGTATATAACAGTTTAGAAACATCTGTTTCAGTTACTGAAAACGGAAAATGGTGTTTAAGGGTTTTACATACGATTCCGGTATCTGGTTATGTTCCGGAAGATCTTTTGCTAATTTGGGTCCTATGTCTGTAAAAAAAATATTGAAAATATTTGCAATTTCTCCTGGTTCAGTTACTATATTCCCGTCATCTGAAATTTCATTTATATTGGTGGATTTTACATTCCTATTTGTTAATTCATTAAATTTTTTCCACATTTTCTTTGGATTTGCCTCGCAATTACTAAATGCCTGCATGTAATAATTTGCTTTCGCATTTTTAACTATTTTAACCACTTCATTTCTAGCTTTTTTGTAGGCTTCATGCGCACACTTAGACCCAGATTTTACCGCCTGTTTTTTTAGAAAATCTCTATTATGTATTCTGTCTTTTATTCTAGGCGTAATCCAGGGTATATGTTCATTTTTGACTTTACGGGTAATCTGGGGTGCGTGCATGTCTGCAACCGCTAAGAACCTTTCCTTCCAATCATTCCAAACAACATTTGGATCTTCACTATTTGATAGCGTTTCTAGTACCCTACTTAAATCATATTTAAATGCATCCACTTTATAATTCTTATATTTCCTTGTATTTATTATTTTTGGTTGTTTACGGGAAATAGATATTTTTCTTTGTATATAAATAAGACTATGGTCGCTGATTCCTACATGTTCTATTTCTGCTCCAACAATATTTTCAGGTTTATTAGTGAAGGCTAAATCAAGCAAAGTAGCGGTATTATCTGTAATTCTAGTGTGTCCTTTTATTAATTGCTCAAATTGGTATCTGGTCGCAAGATCCTTTAGTTTACCGGTTTGCGCACTTCTGTTACTGTGGTTAGGGTCCCAATTACAGTTTTAATCTCCAATAAGGATGATTTCTTTATCTTCCGCGTCCTACTAATTACTACGCTTTTTGTCCGCCTGGGGTGAAGATGAGCTGATTTTAACATGCAAAATATAGAGTTATCTGCTATAAATTAGGACAATGTATTTCAATACTATACGTATAAATCTGTCAATTTTGATAAAAAATTTGAAGGAAAAATGGAAGGATATTTAGAGATTTTTGGAAGGAAATTGTTTTTTGGGAGTGGAAACACTGATTAATATCACACAAGAGAGACATACAGAGTTGTAACTATTGTACTCACTTTTTTTGCGCACATGCTCGGCAAGTTACTAGATGCATGCATCTGAATGGATGACAACGGCCCTGATGACGACTCACTTTAAACTTGCTGAGCACGTTTGATCCTTTTTTGCCCAGTCGCCTGAAAAAAGTGGGTACACGAAAACGTAAGCTTCTGCAGTGTTTACAACGGTCAGTTACGGCTCTGTATGTCTCTACTCTGTGTTAATATGAACAAATAGTGGCCTTACATAGAACATAGGCTGCAATTACACTATACCGGATTGCATCGGAGTGTCACGATTTTCATACTGGATTCGGCTGCTGTTTACACAACGCCACAGTAATCTGGTATGCGACGCGGCACAAAAATCACTCGCTTTGGAGGTGATATTAATGAGAAGTAATCCGGTATGCGCCGAAGCAGTGTAAGCAGGTCAATCTGATACGCTTCGGTACAAGATCAGTTTTGGCGTGTATATTTTACCATTGTCGCCTTTATTTGCTCGCTTTTACAATATTATAGAGCTGTCATTTGTTTCGCCTTACAACCCTTTATTATTTCTATTTATTATAAAAATAATAACATATGTTGACTTTTCGCTTTCAATAGGGCAAAATTTAAAGAAATACTCGTCAATTTTGGATTAGAGCGAAACGATGCAACACGTGTCTGGTAGTCAAGCTTTTAAAACAAAGTTATACTTTACAAAGAAAGCATGTGTTACTTCTTGTTCTTAATAAATTTTAGTATACTGGCCAAAAATATTACTTGTTTCCATGGCGACAGCGAGACATGAGTTGGCAACAGAGCGAAGCGGCATGCATAGTGTAAACACCCTGGCTTGTTTTTTACTTTGGAGTGAAAATTAATCTGGTATAAAAGTCAATCCGGTATAGTCCGTGGCGTAGCCAAGGGGGGCGAGGGGGGCCGACCGCCCCCAATCACAAAAAAAAATTCTCTGAAAAAGGCTAAATCCGTAGAGAAATTGGGGGGTACATGTTACATCCTTGAAGCTGAAACTGATTAAGTACGTCTCGACCAGGGGCGGATCTAGGGTAAGTCCAGTCAGTCGCGTGACTGACGTATTTTTTGCAAAGAAATAATTAATTTATTATTTCGAAATTTGAATAATTAATTCCCGAATATAATATGAAATTCATATCATAGTCCAGTATACGTCTTTACGAGCTCAGTTTTGAATAAATATATGCTTTATCTAGAGCAGCGGTAAAACGCAAGAATCTCGCAGAATCGGGTGGTCGTTATGCTCATTTGATTGGTCGAGAGGTCATTTGGACTTATCTCGACTGATCTGTGGGGTGGCCGGACTGATTTGCACTTTAAGGGAGTCTTTATCAGTCCATTTCGTTCCTTTGATTGGTCAATTTGAAAATATTGTGGGGTGGTCGGACTGATTTGCAACTTAAGGGAGTTTTTATGGGGTGGTCCGACTGATTTGCACTTTAAGGGAGTTTTTATCAGTCCATTTCTTTCATTTTGATTGGTCAATTTGAAATTATTGACAATTCCTATTGGTTCACTTGGACTTATTCGCGGCAGGGGATATCAGTCCTTGAAAATTGCAAAATTCATGCAAAACAGTCTTTCATATTCCCATATATGAAGGTTTTTCATAGTTGTAGTAGTTTTCAGTAGTTTACGATGTCGAGTATTTATATGTGCGCGGCCGATTTTACGAGATGATTTAACGGCCTTTAATAAACTTGAATTGTCTCTGAATGAGGATTATTGTGGGGCAGCTAAGATATCAAGCGAGCAGCTTTTATAATGTTGTTCTGTTCAACAACGAGAAGGCACTAAGTTGGGACTTCTCTGCTACGTGCTTCACAAAGATCATGGTCGTAATTTGGGTGGTAAAGCCAAAGGGAAAGTGTACACTGCTATAATGTATGAAAATATCCAAAATTATGAAACAGAAATCAAATGACTATATTGCAATGTATCTTGTATGATAAATGCGAAGTTGAAATATAACACGCTTTAATACATTTTTACACGCAATCGACTTGCAACTTATAATGCGCTTTCGGGCTTTATAGCTTTCCTGCTGTATTTATAATTTATAAATGCATTGCCCATTATAAAAAGGGCCAGAATAGAGCATTGCCATTGGAGTGTTAATTACTTAAAACAATATAATTTGAATGATTTGCGTTGCATGAAAGATTTGCGATGAATATCGTTATAATATACAAGTGATATTTACAGCATATTGTAATTCATTGAATAAAAAATGCATTTTACAAAGTACAATTGAAATATTACTCTTTATTTTGCTTGAGAAATGAGAATTTTGATTCACAAACAGCGAGTTATATTGGATCGGTCATTGGTATCATATCACTTCAATTTGCGAAGGATTTCATGAGCCAAACTCAAAGGCTATTGAAAGTTGAAACTACATGATATGTTCTGTAATATGACCCTCCGCTAGTAAATCTAATTCCGAGGATGGGAGAAGGCACGTTTGTGAGATCATAAAAAAAGCACGTGCTTTATGTACTTTATAATCTTTGGAATTCTGTAAAATTTCACCGCCAAAACGCTTGAAATCGCATTTCAGAGACTCTAGATTTCAAAATTTTTCGGGGGCGGGGCATGCCCCCAGACCCCCCTAGCATGTCTCACGCCTTAATTGGCATTCGACTTATGTTGGAAAAATCCTAGATCCGCACCTGGTCTCGACTGAGGAAAACGACGATATACTGGAGGAACTTGATTTGTAAAATCTCGTTAAAGCAGTTGTAGATATGGTTCCAAGAAGAATAGATTTAGTTTTATAGATTTAGGGAGAGCATCCATACTCAATTTGCCACGAGAAATGTCAATTTGACGTTTCTTTTTCATACCCACCCACCCATCCTAGAAACATCGATCAATCCGTGGCAAGAAAAAAACAAGTGTGAATGCTCAAAAATACTTGTATTAACAAACATAACAAATAAATATAAAGGCTTGATTTACCGTCTGGCAAAGTAAGAAAGTTTGTTTGTTTTGTATATTTTCCTTGACTAGGGAAAATATTGTACAGGTTTGTATTTTTAAAGTACGTATTACAAATAGAATTTTATATTGTACAAAAGAATTTTATATTGTACTTTTATAATATTCAAAAGTGTCAAACTGCCACAGGAAAAACGTCAAAGAAAATATAAACCCACACACCCACAAACGTGAAATTGACGTTTCTCGTGGCAAGCATGAATATTCTTCTCAGATTTATTCTGTATCGTATAAAAAAGCAACGCAATTTTGAGAATGAGAACTTGAAGAGCTGAGCTTAGAGCTAGATTTTTTGTTGGTGTACAAACGTTATAACGTTAACTACTTTAGAAAATGACATAGAAATAGTTTATGAGTTACCTGGAAACGCGGACAAAACAAGAACATCAACTTCGTCATGTTTTGGTAAAGCTGTAATATCACCGATACAAAGCTGAATAAAGCATTTGCCTATATCCGTTCCTACTTCCAGCGCATCAACAACACGAATTCCTGTCATATCCTTATCACAAGATTAAAATATTAAGAATATTTTATAAGCCAAACGCCACTTGGTGACTTGAGTATTTTTAATATTAAACCAAAGTTTCGAAAATCGAAATGTTCGATTTTATCACACTTCCGCTGTTTCCACCCATGAAATATTACTTTTCCTTACATTTCCGTTGATTTTTCTTCGTTGAAAAGTAAATAAGGGAGTGGTTATTATTTATGGTGAGAGGGGGTTGGTAAATGGGAGGAGGGGGGGGATAGCATGTCTAGAGTTCTGATTTCTATAATCACAAACATAATGCCAACGAGGTAAAGAAGTAAGGCTCTGAAAATGCCATTTCCAACGATGTAGAGACTCAAAATTTTCCTGCTCGGCGCCAACCTTGGTAGCGCCTCGTGGGAGTCGGGCCCACTAAGTTTAACAAGCTTCCTACCCTCTGAGTGACACAGTTGTGGTATTTACATAAACATACCATGCAAGGAGTACTTAATGGATCAGATTTGGTCTATCAAAGCACAATGTAACGCTGTATATCCAAAAATCTGTTTCAGAAAATGCTCACATTTCAGTCCTGGGGGTGGTAAAATACAAAAAAAATTTCTGGGGAGAATACCCCCAGACCCTCCTACTAACTAGCACATTCGATACCACACCAAACGTTTTGTCACCAACAACCATCTGTCATCTCTCCACACTCAGTATAGTTATAGTACGGTCCCTTTTTGTCGATGCCCCCCCCCCCAGACAAGTCCCTGTGTTCAAATAATTTCGCTGTATGAAGACAGGCCATGGGTTAGGGTTATGGTAGGACAAATGTTGCATTGCAAAGTAGTAACCACATAATATATATTTTTAATCAGGCGAGACTTTTTTTATTTATTTGAGGTCGGTAGGTCGGAAAAAAATTAAAAAATAAAAACGAACTGAGTATAAATGAGAACCGAAATTAATAATCTTTATAAAATTTTTTAACGTCAATTTAAAAAAAAAAAAACCCGCAAAAAACGTGGCTAATCTACATATTGATTGTCACAACAATAACAAGAGCCAGCAGTACCTAGTGTCAAAGTTCACTTGAAGGGTACTTCATGTCAGAACCCCAATTTAATTATAATTCAGTGCTTCCATTTTCAAGGATATTTCCTTTTCTAAGGAAATTCTAGTGTCGAAAAGGAAAATCTAAGGAAGAGAAAATATCTAAGGAAATCTAAGGATTTTTTCCCAACAACTTAAATATTCATCCAAGTGCATTAGTGCAGAAGAATGTTTCGCTATTTCTTGAATTTTTGAGTGAATTATCAATTATGTTCAATTAAAAATCTGGTTTTAACTTTTTCCTCGTGTTTCCGAAAACTTCCGAAAGTTTTTGAGCGACAGGATTTGGTATCTTTTGGCGCCAAACGCTGCGAATTAATTATTTATATCAATGGAAAGGTATATGTTGTAAACTCACTGAACAAATATTTAATTTTAAACAGTATAATAGCCTGTGTTTTTTTAGCTAGCAATTATCTTTGTTAATTGTGCTATTTTGTGCCTTTAAAATTGATTAAATCCTTTGTATTGCTACAAAAGCACTGCAAAGGTCTGCAAACCGCCTAATGAAATTTCAAGGAATTTTCAAGGAAATAACGTATACAATCTAAGGAATTTAGAGAAATTTTGATGACAAAAATGAGAAATTTTGATTTTGAAAATGGAAGCACTGTTATAATTAACTAAAATTGTAAAATTTTTGACATCCAAGGTTTTTTTTTATTTTTCACTTTCTGAATATTTACGGTCGGCGGATCCGTAAACCAATGAATAAAAAAAGTCTCGCCTCACATATATGAAGCGTTATTCATGTCAATATTCGCTTTTAAATTATATTCAATTTTAATTACACACGTCCGAATCGAAATTGAGTTCTTCCATAACATAATTTAGAACCGCATGACATAATTTAGAACCGCATAACATAATTTAGAAGTGCATAACATAATTTAGAACCGCATAACATAATTTAGAAGTGCACAACATAATTTAGAACCGCATAACATAATTTAGAACCGCATAACATAATTTAGAACCGCATAACATAATTTAGAACCGCATAACATAATTTAGAAGTGCATAACATAATTTAGAACCGCATAACATAATTTAGAACCGCATAACATAATCATAATTTAGAACCGCATAACATAATTTAGAACCGCATAACATAATTTAGAAGTGCATAACATAATTTAGAAGTGCATATAAACTTATAAGTCTCTGGAAAATTACATGCAATGACGTATTTTCGGGAGACTATGAGCATATATATTGGTGCATAAAGCCTGGTTCACATATGCCTGCGACTGTATCATTATGCCTCTACTTGCCGCCGAAATACCGGCAAAGTTGAACTCAAGTCAATTTTCCCGGCCTACCGCCGATGTAACTGTGGCACTGGAGGCAATCGGCGAACAAATATTCACATAATTTACGTTTAATTAAGCTACCACCGGCATCGTCGCCGGTACGTCGCAGGCACGTCGCAGGCATATATGTGAACCAGGCTTAATAGAATTTGGAAATGTAACACTTCAGGTCAAACTTTGAGATCAGTGACACAGAGTAGACACATACAGAGCTGGAACTGGCCGTTGTAAACACTGCAGAAACTAACATCCAGGTGATCTCGTGTTCGTATTTTAGCCAATCAGCGCTCAGAAAGGGTTGTCCGAATAGAAATCCATTTTGATGTATTCAGTCAATTATATCTTTCATTCTTCTTTATGAAACTAGTTGAAATTTTGTGATTATGTTTGGTTATGAGAACTATAGCTCTGACAAAAATATGGAATCGAAATAAAGTATATTACAGGAGATATTCAGTTGTTTTAATCGTAAAATGGATTTCTATTAGACAACTAGTGCCAGTACTTTTCCGCGTATCAAGATCACCTGGATGGAAGGCTGACTCGAGCTCAAAAAGTGAAGCCAACATGGCGGAAATTGAAGCCATTCTTGCGCGTCATTCTCAGTCCCCTTACGTGCGCGGTCAACAAAACTTTTATATTTTTCTTTATTTTCCGAGCAAAAATTTGGTGAAAAACATACGAAATTTGAATGAAAAGTTGAATTCTGGTGTTTTGTTTGGGTTCAGTTCTAAATTTTAATTATTATTTATTTAAAAGATGCGATATTTGAGTGGAAAGAAAGCAAAATAGCGCGGGATTGCGGTTTTTGTAAATGACAAAGAGTGACAAAACAAAACACAAATGTCACTCAATCTTTCAAAATATCTCTATTGCCCCTATTGACAAGGGTTTCACACACATAAATGACTCATTAAAATGAACAGTTTAACTTTAAAAGGCAATCATCAAAGTGATTTTATTAAATAAAAAATAAAAAAACAAAATTTTCTTACATGTATGGAAGAGGGCCCTGAAGAGGTAAAATGGGAACTGGGATTGATCTATTTTTAGACTGGGAAAATGGGATTTGGGTTGCTGGGACTGGGATTTGGCCACTGCGAATGGGAAATGAAGTCCTCAAAAATGGGAATGGGATTGAGGTAATGCGAGTCGATTCCCAATTTTTCTACGTTTTAAGTATTTTAAAAAACAATTTTTATCCGTTTTTGGTGTCTTTGGTCATGATTTTTGTTGTTAACTATATTATTCACAGCACTACCTGAGAACAGGCATACTCTGGCGCCCGAAATTCTGGGTTTTCTGATTATGCATGTCTCAGAATGCTGCAAATACCATTTCCGGGATTCAAATTTAAAAATTTTCCATGCCTTCGGCACGAACCTCCTCCAATATTTCATAAAGTGTTCGCCACTTTGACGGTGGCTTAAAAGTCTTAAAACTGTTTATTGTACCGATAAATAAAGGTTTTTTTATTGACTGGGATTTCAATAACTCGGACTGGGATTTCTAATAAAAATCCAACTGGGACTGGGATTTTGTCAAAATTTCAGGTGGGAAATGGGATTGGGATCCCCCCCCCCCCCTTCAGGACCCTCATGGAATTAAATTGGCTAAAAAACTGCCTCGAAAACTGCAGTTAAAAAGCAATTTTAGGTTAGGAAAACGGACTAAAATAAGCTAAATAATGGTGTGAAAACTGAAAAGCACCATAGAAACAAAAAAAAACAACAACCAAAGCAAAAATAAATTCCCAATTTATAAAAATACAGATTTTATATAAAAAAAACAAAAAAAGTTTGAAATTAGTTGTTGAATTCGCAACGAAAAATACAGATTTACTCACACGTACAGTGGGAAAATGCAGTAGACAGATCGATTAGATGAAGGAAATCAGGTTTACATGAAATAAATAAAGTTTATTTCCTTTTTTGCTCTTCTAAAATGAAGAAAAACACAACCCGAGAGTCGCGGACCCATCACTTCCCGCCATGAAATATTGAAATGATGAAAATACAAAAATTGTTTGGCCGCGCGGGTAAGGGGACTGAGAATGACGCGCAAGAATGGCTTCAAAATCCGCCATCTTTGGTTTCACTTTTTGATTACGTCAATGACTGAAGTCAGCCTTCCATGTTATATAGTTCAGTGCTGCCCACTGGATCTGCCCACTGAACTATATAACAGTTCACTGGATCTGCCTCGTACCCAGGCGCTTAGCTTGCTTGCCGCCTGGAATTTCCAAGGGGGGATTTCTACCAGGAGTACCAGGCGCTATATTTTATTTTTATGACATTGATCGGCGAATGCTTCCATTATATGAATAGCCATTCTTCTCTTTCTTCAAGAAGATCTTTCAGTTTTTTCAATTTAATTCAAAATTTAAATACTACTTAAGTTTTGTTCATTTAGTTACTGAATATATTATAAACGGCCAAGAAATTGAGGAAGCTGTTTCCGCTATCGAGGGAAGACAGCCATACAGATTATTATCGGATAATCGCCTTCAATCCTGCTAACTATATGCCATAAAAACCTCCTATTAACCAATGCATTGTCGGAGAAACACATTAGGGTCATCTACAGGGGAGAAAATGTGTTGTTTTCTGTGATTATGGTCTTATAAATTTTTGTTAAAGCTTCTCTTAAAATGCACTAGGGAATAGCATTAATGGACCATTAAAAACAAATATCGGGGTTCTCAGTCTGTGGTTCTCAGTATTTATTTCTTAGCCCCCCCAATTTTAAGTGGCCATGCAAAAATCATTTACAGATTAACCTAATGTTTCTCAGCACTGTTATGGTATGCACCTCTGGTTATGCACTTGTAAATTATGTTATGCACTTCTAAAATATAACAACAATTTTAATCTAAGAACTAAGCTAATAGAAAGCCTCTCTAAAAATATGTCTTAAGATCTTGCACGGACTTGTAAGTTCTAAATTATGTTATGCGGTTCTAAATTATGTTATGCGGTTCCAAGGGTGGGTTGACTACAAAATTTTTGTAGTTCGCTATAACTACAGCTACTTCAAAAGTATGTAGTCAGCTACAACTACTGCTACATTTGAACAAAGGTAGTTCGCTACTGACTACAGAGTACTGCTTAAAAAATGTAGCGAACTATTTCGCTATTTCGCTACTCTATATTTTTTAGCTTACGGTATTTGGAGCATAGTTGAGCATCCACTAACTCAGGCTGTAATATAACCTATAACAAATCGACTTACGAGTAGCAACAGTAAACAAAAAGGGTCAAAGCAACATTTTTGTAAGCCCTACAGTGTTCAGGAGTGCCACTTTTCATTGCGCTAAAATAATCTTTACTTCATAAAATAATCTTTTAAGCAAACCGTGTCTTAATATCATTCTATTCTATGAACGGTTGCTAACAATTTTAAAAAGTAGAGAATAGCGATTTGCTGTTTGAAAAGTAGTCAACTATTTGGCTACTTTTAGGCAAAATGTAGTTCGCTATAACTACAACTACTGTTTTAAAAAAGTAGTCAAAAACTACTGGCTACTTGAAAATTGTAGTTCGCTACAGTAGCGAACTACTACTACTTCGCTACTACCCACCCTTGTGCGGTTCTAAATTATGTTATGCACTTCTAAATTATGTTATGCGGTTCTAAATTATGTTATGCGGTTCTAAATTATGTTATGCACTTCTAAATTATGTTATGCGGTTCTAAATTATGTTATGCGGTTCTAAATTATGTTATGCACTTCTAAATTATGTTCTGCGGTTCTAAATTATGTTATGCACTTCTAAATTATGTTATGCACTTCTAAATTATGTTATGCACTTCTAAATTATGTTATGGAAGAACTCAATTTCGATTCGGACATGTGTAATTAAAATTGAATTTCTTAATAATATAATTTAAAAGCGAATATTGACATGAATAACGCTTCATACACATATGGATGAATCATATTCACCGGGACTAGCTAACAGTCATGGGTCGTGGGTCGTGGGTAGAATGTCGTGGGTCGTGGGTAAAAAGTCGTGGGTCGTGGGTAAAAAGTCGTGCGTCGTGGGTAAAAAGTCGTGGGTCCCGAATAAAAAGTCGTGGGTCCCGAGAAAAAAGTCGTGGGTCCCGAGAAAAAAGTCGTGGGTCCTGAGAAAATGCCGTGGATTCCAAGCAAAATATTTCCATATATTTACCTCTCTTCCTTTGGAATGCGTGTTTTTTTTTCTTCTGAGGCTTTCCTTATAACCAAGTGTGATTATAACCAAGTGATTATAACCAAGTGTGGATAAAACAGTTCAACTTCACGCCCCATATAGCTCGAATATTTGGACGTTATAATCTTATAGACCGAAAATTAATTACTGTAATTCTTCAATTATAGCTCAAGGGCCACATGTACGAAAGCTGAATAGTGCCTAATGTGGCGTGCTATCCACTAGATATAGTCAAATTTTTATAACCGGCAATGACATCATGTTTTCAGAGCTATATATGGAACTGCGGAGTATAGTTACCCATTTAATGAAATAATATGACATTTGACTTTATATATATGTTTTTTTAAAATTTTTTCCCCTATGTACAGCTTTGTTAACATTTACAAATATATACAGTACTTATATATGGTCTTCATTTATATACTACACCGTCTATACGGTCATTATAACTGTAGGTTACAAAGAAGATCGCCGGGTCTGCAAAATAGTGATGCATCGATATCCATATCGGTAAGTTAATTTTGTGTCGATATTACCGACATCGTCGTAAACATTACAAGAAAATATATCTCTAGACCAATGCAACCGATGTTGCTGTTATTTAAAACTGCTGAAGTCTATCCTAAAGGATTTATTTAATACTGAGATATGGAATTGTAACGAAATAGAGAGATCTTTTGGTTTCTGAAATATCGCAAACTACAAACGGAACATCAACAAACCTTGCATGCCAAACAATGCTACTCGGACGGTTATTAAATGAGCGCTGTGAAATTTCCAAATTCCAACATGCCATTGACATCGCTGAAACTTGATGCTCGAGAAATAAAATAATCCGACAAAAGCCTACTGAAAGATAAGTCAAAGCATGAATGTTACAAATACTGTATGTGACTGTATATTTGTAACTTATGTTTGACATTAGAAAATACAAACCACATAATAAATTTGACACTAGATTCACTACTGCAACATGGTTAGATACTAAATATGTATTTAAGTGAAATCTCTCAAATGATTTAGGCCTATTTTTATTTTTCCCTAGTAAAACAGACATTGCATTACATTAACACTGTCCAGGTGAAAATTCCTCGCTTATTACTGTAAGAACATCGATCAACAAATTACAGTGAAGCCCTGAATGTCACAATTTAGCTATTTATGGTAGCACTATTTCCTATTGAAGAATTACAATAGTTCGCTTTCTATAAGATTATAACGTCCAAATATTTGAGCTATATGGGGCGTGAAGTTGAACTGTTTCATCCACACTTGGTTATAATATTTATAAACCCACGACCTTTTACCCACGACTTTTTACCCACGACTTTTTACCCACGACCCACGACTTTTTACCCACGACCTTTTACCCACGACCCACGACATTCTACCCACGACTGTTAGCTAGTCCCAACTGTAACTGTAACTGTAACTGTAACTGTAACGTTAACTAGTTACAAAAAATACCATAAAATTGAAACGATTACAATTAGTTATTTTGCCAAAGTTACAAGTTACATTTTGTTCGTTGCTTTTTGTGCACGTTTTTCAAACGAAATAAATATCAATACACAGTCAGGCAAGCTCTTAATCATTTGCACAGGAATAATTTAACCTGACACAACAGAATCCGTTCAAGACACAAATTTAAGTCGAGGATTGACGTTTAATTTACGTACAGTAGGAACTAATCCGAATGCCATTCCTCGCCTTCACTTGGCCTTGTCATAATTGGTCTTTGACCTCATTTCACTTGGCCCAGTCATGATCACGTTTCTGCTTTTTCATTGCGAAGTCAGAAGCCTCTAGGCAGTGAGGGATATTTTTTTAAAGTTTTTCAATCTACGGGGACCACATTCTCGAGACCATTGTCCCGCCAAAAACATTGCATACCACTACAACCATTCGCCTATGTTTGGATCCTCGTGATCTTAACAAAGTGATCAAGCGGAATCCATACTATGCTAGAACCATAAATAATGTCATACCAAAAGTCAGTGGTGCAACCCACTTCAGTATCCTAGATGCACGTTGTGGATATTGGCAAGTCGAACTCGACGAAGAGAGCAGTCGTCTGTGCACTTTCCCATTTGGACTCCCTTGTAGTGGTGATATATTCCAAGAGAAGTTGGATACGACTTTTGGTAAATTGGATGGCTTACGTGGGATTGCAGATGACACCTTTATCTATGGGAAAAATGAAGCTGAGCATGATCAACGCATAATCGACGTCCTTGAAACCGAAAGAAAGAACAATGTACGATTCAACCCAGATAAGTTTCAGTTTAAAGTAGAAGAAGCATCGTCGTTTTTTTTGGGCTAACGTGGACCCCTGGTGGAATTAGACCAGACGAACATAAGATCAAATCTATTAGAGACATGCTCAGCTCAAGTAATTTAACAGAGCTGCAATCGTTTTTGGGAATGGTCAACTACTTGAACAGATTTTTTGCAATGTTATCCCAGATATCATTACCTTTGCGACAGATAACGAAAAAAGATGTACCATTTATGTGGCAACCAGCTAGAGCAGCAATAAGCTTTCCAAGAGTTGAAGCATGTAATTACAGATGCTACAGTTCTATCCTATTACAATCCTGAGAAGGAAAATTTGATCTAGTCAGATTCAAGTTTAAAAGGCATTGGGTTTGTGTTGATGCAAGATGGTAAGCCAGTGTGCTATGCAAGTCGGTCACTGAGCGAAACCGAGTCACGGTACAGCAATATTGAGCGAGAACTGTTGGCAGCCTGCTGGTCCCTGGAGAAATTTAATCATTACTGTTTGGCAAGAAGGTAGTAATCGAGACAGACCACAAACCGTTAGAAAGCATATAGAAGAAGAGTATCACTAGTGCATCGCCTCGTCTCGCCTACAGATACTTCTCCTGAGAATGTCGGAGTATGATGTTGATCTACGATATATTGAGGGCAAGAAGAATGTAATCGCTAACGCCTTGTCCCCAAGTCAGCTGTATGGAGCCACCTGTAGATGCAAATGAAGACATGAAGTGCCGTTGATAGAAATCAATGAAATTTCGAGTTCATTACCAGCAAGTTCAACAAAACTGGACGAAATACGGGAGCAAACAAAATAAGATGCTACTTTGGACCCCCCCCCCAAAAAAAAAAACAAAAAAAAAACAAAAAAAATTAGTCTGAAGAACTAGTGTAAACTTTGAAAACTGTTTTGAAAACTTAAGTTTTGGATAACTGTAAATAGGATTCAAACTAGAGCTCGGATTTTTACCAAATATTTTCAATTACCAAAATCTACCAAAAACTGACGAAAATATCTTGTCACACTGCCCATCATGTTGTTGTCTTCAAGGATAACGGGAACAGTTTTTGACGGGTGGAATTACGATATCAGTCAGATCTACATCAAATTGCGCTGTTTGTTTGATGCGCAAGCTTGGCTGCACGCCAAAGAGTATCGAAATAATTAAATATTGATTAATCCTCTTTTAGTTGACTAGCTTTAAGTATATAGAAAGCCGTTTGATCATTGACATAGGAAGAGTAGAATATTGTTTTTGTGTGCAATAATTAATTAAATTTATTTAGTTAATATGAATAAATTATCGAACATGTTATATATTACAATGGTAATCTACGCAGACTCCCCAGCAATTGGGGGAGCCTGAGGCACGGGTTAAAAGTGTAAAATGTACAAGAGACTGTGTTTTATTATGAAAATTAATTGAAAGTCGTTACAAGCACATGCATCAAAATTACGTGTTAATAGAAAAAGAGTGATGAGTAATTAGGCATAAACGTTTGTAAAATTAGAAAAACATCGGTAATTTTTCTTCATCAACCGTGTCTACAAGCGAGGAATTCCCATCGTCTATCCCTAAGAAAATATAACGAAAAATGATAAGAGACGTGACGTCATAATGAGTGATTCCAACTGAATCGGGTAAACAGCATAACATGTGATAACATATACTAACTAACAGTTGACATAGCATAACATATAATATGTAAGTGAAACTAACAGTTGACAAATTATCTTAATTTAAATGGGATGCATCAGCAACTTCGAAACTGATATCTTGCTGACAGCAAAGACCCCTGTTATTAGTGTTATACGACCTTCATTTCTTATCCAATTTTCATCCATATCTAATTAACCATTTTGACCGACGGGTCGCCCGCTGTTTATGCCGCCTAAACTGTCATATTAAACTTTTTTAAAGGCCATGTAAAGTCTGTAATGTAAACAACGCTTAATTGTTTACATTTTGAACTCAGTGCTGTAGTTGTAAAATATGATTCGCTATGGTTGTAAATGAATACAGATTCAACTCAAGAAAGTTCGGAAGGTTGGAAATATTCATAACATTCCAATGGTCGGGCCATTGGAATGTAGGACTGCGCAGAACGTATGCGTAGAACGGACTTTACATGGTCTTTAACTTTTTCAGTTATCTTGTTGAAAGACAAACAAACCGAGTTGAATATGTGTTGGACCATGGCCTTTCGAAGGGGAGATGTCTGTGAAACTCATTAGAATAACAATATAACTCATTATCTATGGTGGTCAACGTTTATTCATAAATCTGGTCCTTCACCGTCACGTGTGTATTGTATGTTTATCCAACTAACCAATAGCAATGTTTTAGGAAAGTCTCCTATCCGTGACTCGAACAATAGGGAAACTCTTTCAAACTGGAAATTGCTATTGGTGGATTTGGCAGAAATACAATACACACGTGACAGTGAAGGACCATATTTATGAATACATGTTGACTAACACAGATAATATATTGATATTATATAGATAATTAAATTGATATTCTAATGAGTTTCACAGCCACTCTCTCTTTCGATATGCTATGGTTGGACTTACTCTCTTCCATTGTCGTGAACACTGTGTACCCCGGTGAGAAAATAGCCACTGGGTACGGTGTAGTCAACAATTCTATCGAAGTCATTGACATAGCGAGACCAAACACAATCACGTGCGCAATTATTCTGGGTGTTACAACATCTAAATCTAAATATTCTGTCTTCAGCTCGGTTGTTGTGTATAGAGTGCACACCTAATTTATTGGAAAAAAATAAATTCAAATTATTTTACTAAGAATATATAATATGTTGTAGATAATGGTGTGGAATTAGATCCAACTTAATTACTCTGCTACTTTTCCAGTTGTTATGCTGTTGTGGTTACTATCGCTGTTTCTGTCGCTGTTGTTGTGGCGCTGCATGTTTCTGTCGCTGTTGGTGTTATTGCAAATATGGAGCATTGTGCTAGCAGTTTTACTTCGTTTGTCTTTATTTATTTTAAAGGTGATCTACAGTCCGATCTGCGCATGTGCACAAATGAGCCCACTTTTTATGATACAAACAGTTTAACTATGTTTTGAGTTCTTGAAAGCCTGATTGTTGTTTCTTGATCATTTATTATACTCTAGAAGCTTGAAAATATAAATAGTTGTCGAATAAAGCTCAATATTTTGGACACAAAAATGTAAACAAAGGCTTTGTTTACATACGGACTGTAGATCACCTTTAAAATAACATTGCATTAAACGAATTGATGAAATGTTTAATTTCCAGTAATTGATAACGAATCTTAAGATTGACATAATCAATTGACTTCTGGCACTTATCAGCATATATTTAACTTTGGTTATTGAAACAATGCTTTTAGCGGCGTTCAAAATTAGACGTTTGTCGAAGATAGCCATGACACAAGGATTGTTAAAGATTATAGCATATAACCTGTAATAACTCCATTTGGACATTGGTATAATAATTTGTGGTCCAAGGAATTCTCAAATCCAGACCACTGACATGTAGCTGTGATTTTGGAGTCAGGTCGGCACGAGAAAGTCCACGAACGATCTTCATGATGGTTGTTATGAACACTCCTCACTCTATAGATAGATTGACCTGTATAATCGATCAGGAAATAAGCAGAAATTATTGATAACTCATCTTGTTAGCAAAACTATATTTACAATTAGTGCTTAGTGGATCTATCCGGGTCTTCTAGCAACAATAATCCCCCATTTCGCGGATGATTCCTGTTTCCCTGATCCCCCATCCCCAGTTATTTACACCCCATTAATTTTGCCCGATTTCGCAAAAGAGTTTGGTAGTGAGAAGTCAGAACGTAATTGGAGGTCAGAACACTGAAGTCAGAAGTGATACTCCTAGACTATCAAAAGCAAGAAGAAAGAAATTAATAAAGGTCGCGAAGTTCACGACAGCTAGCAACTCAATCGGAAAGAGATATCGTCAGGTCGAATATTATAATATTTAAGACTTTTACGGTGAAATCTGTAAGCCTCGTTTAAAATTAGCCTTGTCCGCAGGCAACTGTGTAGTTATGCAACGTTATTAACCATAAAAGATTTATCAGGAACGTAGAAAATACAAGGAAATAGTTCTGAAATACGATATGATATTTAAACTATTTCCTTGAATGTATTTTCTACGTTCCTGATAAATCTTTTATGGTCAATAACGTTGCAAAACTACACAGTTGCCTGCGGAGGAGGCTAGTTTAAAATGATATATTTGTTCTTACTATTGAATCAAATTCTATTATATAATAACTACAGTGAAACACGCAATTTGATTGGTCAACAGCCGTGCAGGATCAGACAATCCTGCACGGGAAATTCTGAACAGAAATTCTTGCACATAATTTTACAAATATACTCGCATTGTAAAGTTTCATTGTACGATACCTTTCGACTTTGAAGTAAATTTCCAATTATTGAGACGTTTAGTTGTATGAATAAATTTCTGATCGATACATTGCTATTCAGCAAGTAGCAACACGTAAGCGTTGAAATTCATCAGACCATGAAATAATAATAATATCCTCGATTTCTATAGCGCACATATCCAAAAGTTCAAGGCGCTTCACAAATAAGAAGAAGTCGATACAATTATTTACATTTATGTACATGCTGTATACTTAAATAAACTTACAGACCCAGCTATATCAATCAAAAGAAAGATACAGGGAACTATTATTAATAAAAAGTTTAAAAAGATAAGTTTTGAGATCCTTTTTAAAAGTCGATATACAGGATGCCTTTCGCAAACTGTGTGGAAGTTTGTTCCATAGTTTTGGAGCACATACAGCGAAGGATCTGTCACCATAAGTTTTACTTTTGGAAGAAGGCACCAGTAAAAGCTTATTTGCAACTGAGCGGAGGGATCGGGTGGATGTTCGATGTTGCAAACAACTAGACAAGTAGAGTGGACAGGCTCCGTTCATTGACTTATAAACCAATAGAAGAATTTTAAAAACGATTCGGTAGTGAACAGGAAGCCAATGTAGTTGAATTAAGAGTGGTGTGATATGATCATATTTCCGAGACAAGGTAACAATCCGAGCAGCCGAATTTTGGACTGATTGCAGCTTCGAAAGAAGACGTTTAGGCAAGCCGTACATGAGTGAATTACAGTAGTCCAACTTCGTTGTTATCAAGGCATGGATTATGACCTCCACTGATTTTTTTGTCAAATATTTGCGAATTCTAGAAATATTCCTCAAATGAAAGAATGAGGACTTGCAAACTTTCTTAACATGATCATCATAGGAGAGTGTCTCATCCATAATCACACCAAGATTGGTAGCCGAACCCGAAAAAGGAATCAAGTCATTTCCAACTTTGATTGAATCGCGGAGTGAAGGACAAGGCCGAAACTTCGAGTGCATAAGAACTGATATTGTTTTATCATCATTGATCTTTAATCCATTAAAGAGCATCCACCGGCGTATTTCAACTATACAGTTTTCAATACGAGCCTTCACCAAGTCGACGTCACTATCCGCCTCAAAGGACACATATAGCTGAGTATCATCAGCATATATATATGATAATCAAGATCATACCTCCTAATGATATCAGCCACAGGGGCAGTATAAAGCAAATAGAGAATGGGGCCGAGGACAGAACCTTGTGGAACTCCATATTTGAGATTGTGGGTGGAAGAATAAGTGCCATTGATATTGACAAACTGACTACGAGATGACAAGTACGATTTAAACCAAGCAAGAACATTTCCACTGATTCCGAATCGTTCAGCCAATCTAGATAATAAAATCTCGTGCCCAATGGTGTCGAATGCAGCAGATAAATCAAGAAGAACGAGGATGACCGATTGCTTCTTGTCCAAAGACTGCAAAATATCATTTTGCACCCTTAATAGAGATGTCTCAGTGCTATGAAATGACTTGTAGGCTGACTGAAAGACTTCGTGTAATTCATTTTCGACAAGATATTCATTGAGTTGAACAAACACAGCCCTCTCGACAAGCTTTGACAAAAATTTAAGATTCGAAACTGGTCTAAAGTTTTGAAACATGTCAGAGTCAGCATTGACCTTCTTTAATAATGGATCTAACATTGCGATCTTTAAGGGTTCTGGCATTACTGCACTTTGCAAAGAGAGGTTAATTATCCTAGTGTAAATAGGAAGTAACGATTCATTGCATTCTTTCAATACCAAAGTAGGAGCCGGGTCAATTAGGCAGGACTTCATCTTAGAATTACTAAGTAGCTTACGCACATCACTATCTGTCACTTGTTGATCAAACGCTTCGCAATCTTCACATATTCAGGTCGAGAATCTTCAAAACTACTTTGGCTCTCTGTTTAGCGGGTTTTCCATTTCAAATTTCGTATGTTTTATCGAAAAAGTCACTGTATTTACGCTGTATATTTTCGCGAATTTGCGATCAAATTCTGTTCACATAGTCTAGGACCTCATGTATATGAGTTTGTATGCATTTCATTTAGGACAGATAATCTCAACTGTTTTAGGGTAAGTTGACCATGACAGTCAACATGGTAACGCTGCCCGAACCCCAATCCGGGGCGAAACATCCGAAACTGACCACACCCAAAAACGACGCTTTCGCCATACTGCTATCTACCAAACCATAAAAGCTTTGGCTATTCTGAGGTGCTTATATGGTTCAGAGATGGTACTTTTGGGGGTGGTCATTGGTAAGTGTGAAATGCCTAGCACTAATATTTCACAAGAAAATGGCCATGCAATAATCACAGTTAAACGTCAATTTGTGGCTTGCAAATTCAGATAAACAGCAGTGGACTTACATTACCTTTTTCCCTAAATCTTTTTGATAGAAACATAAATGGTACTTATTTAAATATATTATCACTGGTTTGGTGTAAAATAGTTAATATTTTCTGACCGAAATAATAATTCTGCCTAATGTGCCTACCTCCTGCCAATGGACGTTTTTGGCCAAATTCTCCACTTTACTCCGCTGTTTATCGGCGATCTCGTCGACATCCTGCAAAAAATGTAAATCATCTCAGACATAATGGTATCAAGAACATTTTAAACAAGTTTCAACTTGGTTTCAAGTAGATCATACCTGTTTAACCATCGACAAGGTAAATCCACAACTTTGTCCAAATTCGGCACCATTTTGTCATCCCATGGCGCTTGTTAACAATTCAGCCTTGTTACTCTTCCATCCAAGCCATTTCCATTCCACTAATAATAAATTTAACCCTTTATAACAGGAGGAAACTAAAAAATCTAAACAAAATACAAGAAATACGCCATTTTATCACCATGTAAAATGTTGTTTACCAGTCCTTCTAAACATTTCGTACAAATCTCGCGTGGTTTAGAAACAGGGACGTGACAGGGGGGGTAGAGACTTGAAAAATGAAAGGAAAGCCCACACAGTATGGTAAAACCAACAATCAACATTTAATTTGTATGACTTTTTCATATTAATAAATAATAATATGTATATATTTGTCGCTACAAGAAATAAAACAAACATTTGTATGATTGTATTTAGCTTTTGGTCTATTTCACGCGAGGGGTCCGACACGGCTGAAATCTCGTACACTCGACTCAGAAATCAACTGAAATCAAACCCGAAATCAAGAAATCACGAGAGAAATTAGTCAATTTTGAAATCAGAAATCACTAAAACTTCGTTATTATTGAGCCCACAGTCTTATATGACAGCGGTAACTCACAGAAATCAGGAAATCGGGTTAGAAATCAGGAAATCAGGTCAGAAATCACGTTAGAAATCAAGAAATCGCATTATAAATCAACAGAAATCCGTTTAGAAATCAACAGAAATCAGATTAGAAATCAAGAAATCACGTTCGAACTCGCGTGATTTCGAAATCTCGTACGCTTCATGTGGCCGTGTCGGACCCCTCGATTTCACGCAGCCTTCTTCTATCTTCGTGAAATAATTCACCCCCTCCTGTTACGTCCCTGTTACTTTGTGACGCGATATTTGTACGGAATGTTTTGACTTTTGATTACTTTTGAAAGACTCGTGAGCAAAATTTTACATGGTGATAAAATGGCGTATTTTTGTATTTTGTTTAGATTTTTTAGTTTCCTCCTGTTATAAAGGGTTAAATTTATTATTAGTGGAATGGAAATGGCTTGGATGGAAGAGTAACAAGGCTGAATTGTTAACAAGCGACATGGGATGACAAAATGGCGCCGAATTTGGACAAAGTTGTGGATTTACCTTGTCGATGGTTAAACAGGTATGATCTACTTGAAACCAAGTTGAAACTTGTTTAAAATGTTCTGGATACCATTATGTCTGAGATGATTTACATTTTTTGTAGGATGTCGACGAGATCGCCGATAAACAGCGGAGTAAAGTGGAGAACTTGGCCAAATACGTCCATTTTCAGGAGGTAGGCACATTTCGAATTATTATTTCGGTCAGAAAATATTAACTATTTTACACCAAACCAGTGATAATATATTTAAATAAGTACCATTTATGTTTCTATCAAAAAGATTTAGGGAAAAAGGTAATGTAAGTCCACTCCTGTTTATCTGAATTTGCAAGCCACAAATTGACGTTTAACTATGATTATTGCATGGCCTTTTTCTTGTGAAATATTAGTGCTAGGCATTTCACACTTACCAATTGTTACATATTTGTTTTGTTATTCTGATGTATGCTATTTAAGTCTTGTAATTACGTCATACAATGCGTTCGCGCCAAATATATGTTTTTATATTCTCTGTCTTAAAAACGTGTGTATTCAAACAGAACATGGTGTCAGGAAGGGATTTTCGCTACTAAAGTTCGTTTATAACCGAATTTTTATATATCTAATTGTTTGATCGTTCTTCGTTGACGTTGTGTCTCGCTTTGCCTCGAAATTTGGTAGATTTTACTTGGATTTGATCGTCATTTATGGATAAGCTTCAACCACCGCCGCCATTTTCCTTTGAAGGAAACGTATCTCATGGCTGGAAAATATGGGAAAAACACTTCAATTTTTATCTCACTGCTACTGAATCAGATTCAAAAAGCGATAAAGTGAAAACCTCCATTCTCTTAACCTGCATTGGCCCCAAAGGACGCGAAATTTACGAGACATTTACCTTCTCACAAGAAACTGACAAGCTGAAACTCAAGGTCGTATTAGAAAAATTCAGTGCATATTGTAATCCTACTGAGAAAGAATATCACTATACTTCGCCATCAATTCTTTACCTACAGCCAACACGAAGGTCAGTCTTTCAACGATTTCGTCATAGAACTTAAGAAACGAGCTTCTGAGTGTGAATTTGGGACTTTAGCTGATTCACTGATTAAGGACATGATTGTTTGTGGGGTAGCTGATCAATCCCTCCGTGAAAGACTCTTACGTGATGCGGATTTAACACTTGCCAAGGCCATTGATGCCGGTATTGCTGCAGAGGAAACCAAGCGTCACGCAAAAGAACTCGAAAAACATCAACAATCGTCAGATATTCACCAAGTTTATCATTCAAAAGAAAGAAAACTCAAAGAATCTAGCAGAGCCCCTGATGACGTTATCAAGAAATGTAAGTTTTGTAATGGCTCCCACCAACGTGGCAACTGTCCTGCCTACGGGAAACGGTGTAGAACATGCAACCGTAAGAATCATTTCGCTGTTTGCTGTTCCCAAAAATCTGTCAAATGTGTTACTGAGCAGGATAAATCCTCTGATGATGAATTTTTCATCGATATGGTTAAAGTCACTAATACCAATCAGAATCTCTCAACTGAAGGTGATGGTGAAAACACCCCAACTCCCAAATCCATGCCAACCAATGCTAGTCCCAATGTTTTCACAGTTAACAATACCAAATCAGATTGGTCTGTCACACTGGGCATGAATGGAACTGATGTCAATTTCAAGATAGATACTGGAGCCCAGTGCAATGTAATTCCAAAGCGCCTACTTTCCAACCTCTCACCTAGACCTAAGCTCAAAACAGCAAACGTCCAGCTCTCTGCATATAATGGCACAACTACCCCTGTTGCTGGTAAGTGCATTGCTCAAGTCAAACACAGGGCACAAACAATTCCCATTCTCTTCATGTTTGTAGATTCAGACTCTGTCCCCATACTAGGATTAAATACATGTGACAAACTGAACTTGATCAAACAAGTGTATCAAATTTCAGAGGAAGTGCAATCTCATACTCCTATTCAGGAGGAATTCTCTGACTGTTTTGGAGAAATTGGATGTTTGAAGAGAACACATCACATCGAACTAAGAGATGATGTGAAACCTGTAATCATTCCTGTCAGACAAGTACCCTTTGCTCTAAAGCCAAAGCTGAAAGAGGAATTGCAACGTATGGTTGAGCTCAATGTTATTGAACCAGTCGAAAAACCAACCGAATGGGTCAACGCCTTAGTCATTGTCTCCAAACCAAATGGCAAGCTGCGGATATGCTTAGATCCTCGACCCCTAAATAAAGCCATAAAGAGGCAACACCACCGTCTACCCACAACCGAAGAAATAACCTCTGAAATATCAGGTGCTCGGTACTTTTCCAAGCTTGATGCTGCCTCCGGATATTGGCAAATAAAAGTAGATGAAGATAGCTCAGACTTACTAACCTTCGGAACTCCATTCGGGCGTTTTCGCTTCAAACGCCTCCCATTCGGGATACACTCTGCCAGTGAAGTCTTTCAAGCAGAAGTTGCCTCAATCATAGCTGATCTACAAGGTTGTGCCAACTCCCAAGATGACATCATTGTGTGGGGAACAACTAAACAAGAGCACGACCTTCGCCTCAGAGATGTACTGACACGTATCCGAGTCAGTGGATTGAAACTCAACCGAAGCAAATGTGTCTTTGCCGTAGAATCCCTCACATTTCTGGGACACACCCTTTCTGCTAATGGTGTTAAGCCTGATCTCTCCAAAGTTGAAGCAATCGTCAACATGCCAATTCCTGAATCGAAAGGTGATCTTCAACGATTCTTGGGTATGGTGAATTATCTGGGTAAATTTGTCCCCAACCTCTCACAAACCACCACTCCGCTTCGTGAAATGCTCAAGAAAGATGTTCATTTTGACCTCCGGCAACCACAACTGGACGCCATCCAAGAGCTGAAAAGTTTGGTCACTTCACCTCCATGCCTCAAGTTTTATGATCCAAACCTGCCTACTCGATTGAAACCTGACGCAAGTGCTTATGGTCTTGGTGCCCTCCTTGAACAAAACCATGGTTCAGACGATTCTCCCCAATGGTTCCCCATTGCCTATGCATCTAGAGCATTGTTACCATATGAAAGGAACTATGCACAAATCGAAAAAGAAGCCCTCTCGATTGTATTTGGAACGGAACGCTTTCATGAGTACCTCTACGGTCATCACTTCACTGTATTCAATGATCATCAACCACTCAAGTCAATCTTCAGTAAATCCATCACTCAATGTCCACCAAGAATACAGCGCTTCTTCATGAAGCTTCAAAAGTATGACTTCAACCTTGAATATTCTCCTAGCAAAACCATGGTCGTCTCAGATGCACTCAGCAGGGCCTACCTCAACAACCAATCAACTGAAATTGATCAACCTGATTTGATTCACTGTATCCAATTCACTTTCGACAACCTTCCCATCAGCGATGCTCGCCTGACTGAATTTCAGAAAGAGACAGCCTCTGACACTACATTACAGCAACTCAAGGAATACACTCTTAAAGGATGGCCACAACAACGTGACATTTCTCAAACAGTCAAGCCATACTACAACATCCGTGATGAAATTGTTTACAACAACGGCTTACTCCTCAAAGGTCAACGCATCATCATCCCATCATCACTGCGCAGCACCATGAAAGCAATCATACACCAGGGCCACACTGGCATTGAAAGTTGCAAAAATCGTGCGCGAATGTCTGTCTATTGGCCCGGAATAAACGCACAAATTGAAGATCTTGTTTCTAACTGTTCACTTTGCCTAACCTACAGAAACAAGCAACAGAAGGAAACTCTGATTCAACCTACGGTTCCGAATGCACCATGGACAAAAGTTGCCTCAGACCTGTTTTCCCTTTATGGACATGACTACGTTATCGTTACGGACTATTTCTCAAAGTACATTGAAATTGAACGACTCACCGACAAATCGAGCGCCACTGTGGTTAATTGATTAAGAAGATTTTTACTCGACATGGCATTCCTAAAGAGCTCTGTTCCGACAATGGTCCAGAATACACAGCGGCATGTTTCAAACAGTTTGTGAAAGAATGGGACTTTAAACACACTACTTGAAGTCCTCACTTTTCGCAGTCCAACGGTTTCGTGGAAAGAGCAATCCAAACTGTTAAGAAGAGTTTGAAAAAAGCACATGATGGCAACAAGGACCCTTACCTTGCCTTGTTAGTCCTCAATACCACTCCTGGAAACGACAACAAGTCACCAGCTGCGCGCCTCTTCGGTCGTCAACCACGTTCCACATTGCCTTCCCTAATCCAACCTGCATTTCCTCCTCCCCCTCCTCCCAAAGACACCCGAGCGAAGACAAAAGAAAGATATGATCAACACGCTAAAGATCTACCTGATATCCAACCAGGAACTGTTGTTCGAATCCGTGCGAAGGAAGATGAGAAATGGAATCAACTTGGTAAAGTCGTGGAGAAGTGTGCCGAGCCACGGTCCTATCGTGTCCTCAATGACAAAGGAAACATTGCGAGACGCAACCGCCGCCACCTTATCCCGTGTAAGGACAGATTCCAGATCCGGAATGACTTTGATTATGATGATCTAGAAGTGACAACTCGACCCAGTTCTCCAGAACCACCAAACGAAATCGTCACAAGATCTGGTCGAGTCGTTCGAAAACCGTCTAGATATAGCTAGACAAATAAACGTTCATTCACGCAAACTTTTTAACTTTATATTTGTTTAATCTCCAACGGGAGATGTTACATATTTGTTTTGTTATTCTGACGTATGTTATTTAAGTCTTGTAATTACGTCATACAATGCGTTCGCGCCAAATATATGTTTTTATATTCTCTGTCTTAAAAACGTGTGTATTCAAACAGAACAGTAGATCACGTTGAATAATGAAGTTATCTGTTATCATGCAAGCCGTCAACAATGTCTCAAAATACTGGATGTTTGATGATTTTTTTACAAATATACCGGGATTTCTGGACCACTTTTAAACTTAGCAAAGCGAAAAGTCCCCATTCAAGAATATGTTTTTTCTCAAAAGGTAAAATACTTAGAATACTTGATTAAATTGTTTACTTCGACGGTGTATAAATTAACAGCGTTTGACTTGCAAGACGTCAAAAACGGAAGATTTCAACGCGCTGTCGTTTATCGCGTATTCATTTGCCAAAAGAAGTATTTACGTCAATTGAAAGCTTGTTTATTAAAGTGCCAACTAGTAGAAGCATTATCGATTTGGAGCTTTATCGCATGGTTAAAATCGATTTTGTTAAGAGGGTATCGTAAATGAAGTAAGATAGTGTGCTCCAAAACTACGATTATTTCTATTCCTAAAAGTAACTCAGATTTCCTGTAAGTCATGTACACAGTCCTTTGAATAACCGAAAACAAGATTTTTAGGGTTTTAGATCGATTAGAAACGGTTGTCGTCGTGAAATTTATCTGTAAAATCAGCGCATATTTTCCCAGAAAAATGGCGATTTAGGGTGGACGTGTTAAAACGGCATTTTCTCAAAGTTAAAAAAGCATTTGACCTAAAAAAATATATGGTGCATTTTCCGATATAATAAGGTATATCTGGGCAAAATTTGAGCAAAATCGATTTTTCAGTCGTGGCCGCTTTATGTTTGATTTTTGTGGACATCCTCTCTTAAGTATTATGTTTGCTTATATTACCAAAACTAACCTAGCTAGATTAATATTTATCTTTGCAACAACATGCAACTTTTCAATGTTTATCTTATTATTACCCACCTTAATTGTCATGTAACTTACCCTGTGAGAGGGAACCAAAGTGCCCGGAGAAAACCCATGACTTTTGGCAGAGTGTTGACTGTTAGACTCTTCACATGCAAAGCCTAGTTGTTAAGTGAGAATCAAATTAATCCACAATCTCATTAAGGTACAAAACTCACTCTGTGCTTGCTGCTGCACAACCAGAAGCCCCAATAATTAATGCCCACATTCACTGAGCACTTTGGGCATAAATTGGGTTAAATTTAAGTTCCAATTTTTACAAAATTAGGACTATATATAATTAAATTAATTTGTTTCTATTTATTTTCAGTGCAGCAACGTGTGATGTGGATCCAGCTTCTTTAATTGTTTTCCTGTTTTTTGTAGCTGCCGTATGTTCACAGTTACATTTTAATTTGTTTACACTTAATTTATATTAGTAATCAAGTGAATATTTTTTTCATGGTTTTTTCAATTTGAAAATCACGAGTCAATCTATATATAACATATTTGTAAATATGATGAAAATTATATGGCCGATCAGTGTTGTTTGCAGCCCCTCCTTTCCTTTAAAGGAGGGACTGCATGCTTGCAGTCTAACCCATGTCAATTTAATCTCTAATTTCTAACAAGCCTTTGACTGGCACACCAACCATGGTGTTAGGAGAAGTCACCAGTACTAGGGCTTGAAAAAAAGTGAACTCCCAATTTGTTTCCAGGCATCATGGTGGTCAATTTGTTTAAAAAGACTTCCCTTGTTTTTTCTGATTGAAAATCCAGCTTTCCGCCAATCATAAACAATTTCTTGCCGATTCTTGATCGGTGATTGGCTGTTATATTTCAAGTCCTAATTAAGTCACCCCCACTGCTCATTTCCCATGGTTCCAGTGGGACAAGTATTGAATGACCATGAATCGTGCCAAAACTGGAAATCACTATAATTACTCGCTGGGGCACTGTGCCCTGGCGAGTATTAAGGTTTCGGCTCGCATTTCAGCTCATAATATACTGAATCTGAATATAAACGAGTCAAAGACATTATTTCAAAGGTAAAAGCTCGGGTAAAAGGTTATAACTTTTTTAAACTACACAACGTAGTTTTGATATAAAACTACATTTATGAGAAGCATAATGTTATCATATTAATATAAAATTTATCCAACATTGAACAACAGTCCCTAATAGACTTAGCTGTGCCTGTGGAAACGTGAAAACTGTAGTGTGAAATATGATATTGTATTTGTAATGCCTAAATGGCGCAATAAACGTAAAAATACCACCGTTACGTTCGGTTCAGCGTAAGAAATGGTACTTACGGATGTCAAATGTATTACTAAACATCAGTATTCCAGCAATTTATGGCCTTTGAAGATCAAGCGAAGTTGTATTGTTGACAAATCGCTCGCAGAGGACGTATTGTTGACAAATTACTCGCAGTACGTTTGTCTTTGTATCTGTATTGCCTGATGGCGCAATAAGAATAAAAATACCACCGCTCTATGTCTTCGATTCACCGTAGGAAATTGTACTTACGGATGTCAAATGTATTACTAAACAACAGTATTCTAGCGATTTATGGCGTTTGTCTTTGAAAGTCAAGCGAAATTGTATTGTTGACAAATCGCTCAAAATTATTAAACTAGGTTTGATCCTTGATAAATTTGGTATCGTTTTCTCCTTTTCGGCCGTAATAGAGCGTCTTGTTTCCAATTGTTTCAGCTGCTTTTGCCTGGAGAAGATATGCTCTATTCTACTGAGCTTTCTCAGGCATCCCTGTGGTGAATGATGTACTTGGAGCTATTAGTCCAATTTTATTGTTAACTATAATGTATGTATATATGTTCCATTCCAGGTGCTAATTATTACGGTATTGGCATTTTTACGGAAGAGAAGAAGTTTTAAGAAAGACGTTTGGGGAGGCAGACCTGGGCTTGTTGTGTGAGTTCAAAACAAAGATGTCTGTAATTTATCCATGCCCCTTCATCGATCTCTCTGTTTGTTAAATCATTAAGAATGCAACAGCTAGTGGTCATCCTAAGGCCGTAGAATAAAGATCCATATAGAAGGGGCACTGACTTACGTCGGAAGCTTTGAAGTTTCTGTCCTCGCGCATGTCGCATTACGTATGTTGGCCGCCATTTTTCTAGCCAGTCAATGCAGAGTTGTAGACTCGAGTCGTGTGACTTGGACTCGAGTCGCAATTTTTGTGACTTGTGACTTGACTTGTTAAAGAGACTGATGACTTGTGACTTGACTTGGACTTGGACAAAATGACTTGTGACTTGACTTGGACTTGCAAGAAATGACTTGTTACCAACGCAAGTCAAACGTAAATATCTATAGTGAAAATCAAGTTTTCCAAAATCTTTGTGTTGATCGATCGATCGTCGTGTTGTACAATTTGGGCAACGACCTTAGTACATATCAATGGCATCGACAGAATTTGTTCCGGCGTATTTTCTGACAAAACGGGGTTTTTTCGCGATTTCGTGGTAAAATTTCTGACATAAAATAACGACGCCATATTTACATATTTTGTAGTGATGGACGATACCAGGATTTTTAATTCGATACCGATACTTTTAAGATCGGTATCGGCCGATACCGATACCTATTTCGATATCAAAATGAACACAAAATTTCAATTTTCGATACCGGAAGTGAGTACTTAAATTGCTAGTATCGGCTACTTTCGATACCTGCCGGTCAGCGGAAAAACATTTTTCATTACTGTATGTAACCTAAATAAAGCTATATGTAAACCAAAAGCCCGAAACGTAATAAATATTTTCTATACATGACTTGGCGCACCACATTTGGAATATTAAGAGTTATTTTAGTGGTTCATTAATTCTTATTCAACCAAGAAGTGAAATTAAACAGGTCGTTTAAAAAAGGGTGCAAGTATCGAACGATACCACGTCAGTAATCGATACCGATACCGCTGTTTGTGGTATCGCTGGTATCGAATACCGAGTACTCAGTATCGCCCATCACTAATATTTTGCCGTTTTGCGTGGGAAAACATGGCCACATGTGGCGATAAAATGACTTGTGACTTGACTTGAATTGAATTGACTTGCCACTCGGAATGACTTGTGACTTGACTTGACTTGGATTTAGACAAAATGACTTGTGACTTGACTTGAACTCAGACCAAATGACTTGTGACTTGACTTGGACTTGCAGGAAATGACTTGTGACTTGACTTGGACTTGCAACATAGGATTCGTTAACAACTCTGAGTCAATGACATTTTCTGGCCAATAAACAAGCTGTACTGGCTGGCTGCTCTGCCTTCTGGGGCCGGTTGTATAAACACGTAGTTAGCGCTAACTGTAGTTAGCGTTAATCACGTACTGTACTGTAATTAGTTAACTACATGACTTAACTGCGTTGCACAAAACGTAGTTAGTCGGATAGTTAACTAATCACGTAGTTAACTGTGCGTGGGGCGTTTAAACACAAAATTACATAAAGTAAGCAGCGAGTAACGACCGCTGATACGCATTTTCAACATGATTGTGGACATATTTAGCAATAGGCGGGAATTTTATTCAAAAATCAAACCACTAGAAATTAGAAAAACAGTGAAAAATAAACAAGAAAACAAAGAAAAACCGCCACAAAAATCATAAAAGAATGCAGTTTTTCCTTGAGGTGTCTACGTTAAACCAAAGTCTAGCTGTTTGACAATTATATATCAGTGTTTCTTGGTGTATTGGACCATATACTTCGTCTTCGAGAAATTGTCCTGTGTAAAAATATGTTCTGTTTTCGTAAAAACACCAAAGTGATAGCGTTTGAAGAGTTTATATTGTCAGGAAACTGGATAATAAGCAATAAAGTGGAATACTAGTTAAATTCTCTACGTTCTCTTATACTTCTCTGATCGTAAAATTTATTTAAACACCAGCTTTCGTCGAAAGCTCGTGTTTAAATAAATTTCACGAGTTAGTCAGAAACTTTATTATGAATCCTGGTCGCGCATCTAGCATTTTTAATAAAAGTGGAGTATATATCATACAAATAATGAATGTTTATGAGTGCAATGGCAAGAATATTTTCATGAGGTGAAAGATGGAATGTTCCATTCAACGAGGCGACAGCCGAGTTGAATGGAACATTCCATCTTTCACCGAATAAAAATATTCTTACCATTGCACGAATAAAAACATTAATTATTTGTTTTATATGATACCAAAATAGACTAATATTAAAAGGTTTACTGTAAGCTCCCGCCATTTTGACGAGTCGTATTTGCATTAAATCCCATTTACTGAGTTTCGAATATCGGGTTAAAATAAACTGCAGCGATCACCGTACGAGAAGCATTTTGACGGATGCGATTTATCGAAAACAGAAAGAGTGCAATGGAATAAAACGTATAGTACAATTGCACTCGCAAGAGTGCAATGGAACGTATTCCATTGCACTCTTGGGAAATGGAATTTTCTATTCAATATCACGTGACCATAAACAGCCAATTAAACGATCAGAATTCAATAAGGTATTATATAATGTAAACTATTGCACGTATCTGCCACCAAATACAAGGTATTAAATAACCTGAGTATCAGGCTCTATTTTACAAATAGAGCCTGACACAAAACTTAACCTGATCGCTTTCCGCCCACAGCAAAGTTTATATTTAGTATCCAATCAAAATGTCGCAGGAGAAATTTAAATTTCACACAACGACAATAACAATCTAATTATAGCATAGGCGGCCCACTAAACGGCTGAATTTAAATTAAAACTGCAATGAACTTATAAAATTAACAAAAATAATCACAAATTAGCGAAATATATTGCAAATGTAGCTTATATTAAATCGCCACCCGATTGCTCTCTCCTCCGCAGAGGTTTCAGTGACTACAATGAGCTTTACATGGCGCTTGCCGTATTTATCAACAAACAGTGACGTATAATTATAAAGTATATATATTAAAGGTGATCTACAGTCCGATCTGCGCATGTGCACAAATGAGCCCACTTTTTATGATACAAACAGTTTAACTATGTTTGAATTCTTGAAAAGCCTGATTGTTGTTTCTTGATCATTTATTATACTCTAGAAGCTTGAAAATATAAATAGTTGTCGAATAAAGCTCAATATTTTGGACACAAAAATGTAAACAAAGGCTTTGTTTACATACGGACTGTAGATCACCTTTAAGTATACTTTATAACTATACGTCAGTCGATAGTGCAATCTGATGGCGATTTAATATAAGCTACATTTGCAATATATTTCGCTAATTTGCGATTATTTTCTAATTTTACTGCAGTTTTAATTTAAATTCAGCCGTTTAGTGGGCCGGCTATAACTGTAGATTGTGATCGTTATAAAATATATCAACAACAATAGTATAATCTAATTAGCACCAGCCAATCAAATGACAGATTTAAAAATCGTTTGTCTAATCGGCCAATCAGCGCTCAGTCCAGATTCTGGACTGAACAACCAGGCAAATGCCACTTTTGTGTCA